CTGCTTTCCTTTCCAGCAAAAGTTACTTTTCCAAAACTGCCTTAAATGAAGAAGTGACTCCCCCCCCCCTCGAATAATTGACTTTCTCCTGGCTTCTCCAGCCTTCCCGGGCAGGAAGAGATCAGCCCCGACCGGCTTTTGTTCCCCAAAGGCTAAAGTCGATCGCTCGCTTGTCTGATCCAAAGGGTGCACGGGCACCCCGAGACCCGCTCCAGGCCCCCACCAAGCCACAATTCCTGGTTTGTAGAAAAGTTGAGGGGGGGGAGAAAGGCGATCAGTCAGCCAAGAGCCCGGCTGTTTCAGACTTTAAGCCTGCAATACAGGCAACGGCGTGCGCTTCTCCCAGCCCAGAAGGGGCTCTCAGGCTAGCGCTTGTTGTGAAGGAAGAAGAGGGAGGGGAAGGGCAATACAGATCCCGCTGACCTGCGTGCACCAGCAGAAGTCAATCCGGTTGCTGCACAATGAGTCCCTGGGGAGGGCGGGGCCTTGCTCTGCACCTGCGCTCTTCGCGCGTCCCCTGCAGGGCACGTTCGGTAGGGTTTGTGCAGGCTGCCACCAAGCAGCATTTCCCACAAACAAGTGAGCTGGGAAGGAGCGGAGTGGGGGGGGAGGAAGGCGACGCCGCGTACCACCAGCCAGGTGGTCGCGTACCACCAGTGGTACGCGTACCACCGGTTGAAAAGCCCTGACTTAGAGGGACTGAAAAAACAGGACTCAGTTCTTTGGGATGTGACCTCAGTTTCTGCAGCTCTTCAGAGTTCTTCTCCCCTCCATGCACAGAAGGGAACTTGTACGCTGGACTGGAGAAATTAAGAGACTGTTAATAGCTTTGCTTCATTTCTCCAGACCAACAATTTCCCTTCCCCCTCCAACTATGAATGGAGGGGAGGGGAATTCCTTCAGCAGGTGACAGCAGCTGGCAACCTTCCCTGCCAGCTTCCCCATTGACATTCTGGAGAAGCAAAGATTGCAAATGGTGATTACATGATCACAGGGCGGTGAATGCACCAACACTGGAAGTTTTTAAGAAGAAACTGGACAGCCATTTGTCCAAAATGGTATAGGGTTTCCTGCCTGAGCAGGGGGTTGGACTACATGACCTCCAAGGTCCCTTCCAACTTTATCGTTATTATTATTATTATAAGTGTGAACACGTTGTCAAGCACCCAGATTACAATCACGTGACTGTACGGGGAGAGCATCAGGACATTATTTGACAGTTGGAAGTGCTTTAAGGATCATAAAGCACCCCTTCCAAGCGGTTGTAACTTCAAATGGTTGTTAAACCACTGGTCATTTTTTAAACACTATCATAGTTAACACAATTTTAACTATTTTGAGCTATGTATTTTTGTTTATCAAATTTAGTTAATAAATCCAAATACTTATATGACCCTAACCTTATCCTTTCTTTATATATCCAAAGGTGATTGTGAATCTACAAAACTGTTTAATTTTTAAAAAGCAATCTGGTTAATTTTAAACATTCAGTTTAAAGATATACTCACACTGTATGTGAATAAGCTGCTTTGGCATCTTAAATTCTCCAGGGTATATAGATTCATAATAAGCAATATTACTTTCTGCTTCTGGGACTGGTATAACCATATTATCCCGCTTCTCTCCATATACCTGCTGTGCTGAAATGGCCCGCTGGAGATGATGTTCCTACAGTTCATTAAAAAAAGAGGAAAATTGATATAGCTAAATAAATGTTATTGTGGAAACTGAACAGTTGAATTAATATTAAACTGTTTCAGCCAAGTATTGTCTATATCAGTTAAACTTTATACAGATTCTCAGCCTCCACTGAAGTTATTACATTTTACTTGATTTTCATGCTTTGTAAAAGTAAGCCAAAATCACACACAAGATAAAACTGGGAAATGTTGCCAAATGATTTCAGAATGTATTTGTCATGATGGTAACCACTGTTTGAAATATATTTTAAGAGACAATAAAATTGAAACAAATTAAGCACTGATTGGTTTTTCTTAAGATATTTTCTTTATGAAATATTTTTTTTATTAAAAGTTTTATAAAGGTTTTACAATATAATTG